CATCACCTTCACCCTACCCAGAAATTCCTTACCTTCAAAGTATATCATACCCCTAAGTTATGTATGTTACTTAAGCCCCAAAATCTCAAGACCTTGATCCAGCTGCATCCCTTACAGTCTCCGGGACTTTAGAAATTTTAATTATTGAAAATCCCAACTACAAAATGGGGATGATACATCCCTAATAGAGTTGATCTGAAAAGTAAGAGTCTGTGATGTTCCTGATACTGAACCCAACATTCCACTGTTTCTCAATTACATAGCACCTTCTATTACTTTGATTTGAAAGAGCCACACAATTGTATTTTTTAACTCTTTAATGTGTAATCTATTACATCACATAGTCATTCAATTTGAATTAAAATTTGTTAAAAATATCACCAATTCTCCTATCTCCAGAAAATCCTTAAAATGCTGCTTTTGCTAATATCCATACACAAAAATGTGTATGTATTGCATCACTCACATCCTACCCTGGAACCTAGCACTGGTTAAATAGACTTAAAATTCAAACCTGTCTCAACATTCACCCAAAACACATATACTTAGAAAGATGACTACACCCCCCAAATAAATTACAATGTAAATTTTCAAATGCTGAAAGTTATATTATTCAGTGTCTTAAATAATCTAAGTCACTATGTCTTCTCTTTGATACTAAAAAAAAATTTTACAGGGGCAAGTGTTTGGCACATGGTTTAAGACGCTGCTTGGGATACCGACATCCCTTGTGGGAGTGCCTGGGTTCAAGCCCCATTTCTGTTTCTGGTTCTAGCTTCCTGGTGTTGCATGCCCTGCTAGACAGCAGGTGATGACTCAAGTAGTTGGGTTCCTCACATCCATGTGGGAGACCTGGACTGATTTCCCTAGCCCAGCCCAGGCTGTTGCAGGCATCTGATGTGTGAACCAACATGTGGAAGGTATTTGTCTGCCTCTCTCTCTTTCTCTCCCACTCAAATAAATAAAAATACATTTAAAAAATAAATAAAATTTTTAAAATTTTAACTGTTACTTTTGATCCTCGCATCTACTAGTTATATTGACTACCCTTAACACAATCACATTTGAATTTTTATAAGTAGTAAATAATTACAGAGACTAAAATAACAGTGAAGACCACACAAGGTTAAAGGCCTACTTCTACCCTCTTCTTTCAGGCTGAAGAATCCTAGAACTAACTCTACATTGTGAAATGGGAGTCTGTCCCCAGCCAGAGTGGCAGACTTAATGCCCCATTAATCTGGTCTGTTCTTAGCCGCCAATTGAAATAGTCACAGTCATTCGATTTTTAAGGAAAAGACAGTACTGCGGAAGTACATTCCAGAGGTCTTTTCATAAAAACCATCCTGTGTGCTCCATCTGCATGTGCAATCTGCCTGTGTATTTTCAGCCAGCTTGCATGGGCAGATTAATGCATACAATTAGAAAGCAACCTCACAGGCATTCAATAAACTGCCTTCATTATTACACTCAGGAGAGTCCCTTTGGATGTCAATAAAAGCCTAGTTTTCTGCCTGTTAGCTAAATAATTGACAACACTAAAAATAATCAGAAGCAAATGAAGGAAGTCAGGAACAAGGTGGTGAGAAAGAGCACATTAAGATGCTCGGGGTGGTGTCCGTGGGTTGCTGGATCGAGCCTCTCCTCCAGCCACTTGGATTTGCAGTCTGCTCGAGTCGGCGAGTGCCCTTCTCTGCAGAAAAACACAGCGCTGCTGGCCTGCTATTTGAACCACACATCTGAGCACACTGAAACCAGCCAGCTATTGACCGGTTTGAAACAAAATTTCTTATGGGTGTTTCTATTTGTGCTCCTTCTTTTGACAGCTTCAGGAGAATCTAATTCGAGGGGGTGGCAGGTGGGCAGTTAGTGGGTCTGGTGTAATCTTTGTGCTGCTCAGATTCCAACAGCTTTCCTAGACGTTGTTCCCACACTAAACTGGTCCTAAGAAGATGTGCTAACGACTTGCTATACAGAGATCCGCCTTTTCTAGAGAGTCCCTTTCTTATTTCCAGCTATGTAACAGACAGTCATTTCATGAGCTACTGGGCTTTTAATTTTGAAAGTAATTCAAAACATACTACTCTTTTTTTAAAAAATGAAAAAGAACTTGCCTATTTGCCTCTTCTTGTGTTTCTCAATAGGCTTTAAAAATCAATTTGAGATACTTCTCATTTTTAGCCAACTTCTCTTTTTCCCAGCTAACTGGGACTTTCACGATAAGCAGAAGAAAGAGCAAGAGTGAAATGTGCGTGTAATTGAATTCAACTCCACTGATGGCAAGCAAGGTGGCTAAGGGCAAACTTTTTTTTTCCCCCTTACAGAAAAAGGGCGCTTGATCTTTGGTATTTAGTGAAACCTAAACTTAAGAAGCTGTAAAACCATGAAAGGAGGCTGGGCAGCACTACTTCCAACCTCTGAAAACTCCAAGAGCCTCTTATCCTTCACCTCGCCGTCTTTAAAACCCTCCAGGGAATGAGCCAGTTCAACTTCCAGTCCTATAAGAAAGGCCCCGCCACTGGTAGGTAAGCAGGTCTTCCCTTTCCACTGGAAAACTGAGATGCCACTGGGTCATTACATGTGTTCTTATTTGGGACCCCAGGCTCCTACTGCCCCCAAACCCTTATTTCTCTCAACTCCTTATGCTAGGCCAAGAGAAAATCCTCACCCATTACATGCACACGAAGAGGGAGGCAACAATACAGTCATACTCAACCTCGCTCCTGCGTCTCTGCGAGACATCAGTTTCTCCTGGTGTTTCCTTCCCACCAGCGTCCTCGCTCCCAAGACTGCCTTAGAAGAGGAGACAGGAGAGACAATCCATGGAGCTGAGAGTGGGAGGTGCTTATTTCAGCCAAGGAGGAAAACATCACCAAGCAGTCCCTTCTTCCCTCCCAGCTGGCTCTCATTTGCTGGCCTGGATTGCTGAGGCCAAGTACCTAACTAGCTGAAGAGCAAATCAGAGGGCTGAGTAATTTCTTTCTCATTCCTCTTTCTGAGTCTTAGAGCAAGAAGGAGCCACTTATGATAGAGGCAGGATAATTTCAGTGGTACAAGCAAACTAGAGGATGCTGTACTTAAAGGAGGGATGTGCTATGGGGTGTCACATTCATGGTCACCCCAAAACCTGAGTCATTTTAATCTTACAAATGAGAGACCACATTGGGAAGACAGAACAGGAGCCAGTCAGTAAACATGCCATATGAAAGTAGGGGGTTAATTACTAGTACTGGTGGGATTAGAAATCATATACAGTCTCTTCAAAATGAAAGGTATGTAGTCCCATTCAACAAGGATATTTGTTTTTTTTGTCTTTTTTTAATTTTTTTTTAACTTTTTTTTCTTGACAGGCAGAGTGGACAGTCAGAGAGAGAGACAGAGAGAAAGGTCTTCCTTTGCTGTTGGTTCACCCCCCAATGGCCGCCGTGGCCAGCACGCTGCAGCCAGCGCATCACGCTGATCCAAAGGCAGGAGCCAGGTGCTTCTCCTGGTCTCCCATGGGGTGCAGGGCCCAAGCACTTGGGCCATCCTCCACTGCACTCCCTGGCCACAGCAGAGGGCTGGCCTGGAAGAGGGGCAACCGGGACAGAATCCGGTGCCCCAACCAGGATTAGAACCCGGTGTGCCGGTGCCGCAGGCGGAGAATTAGCCTAGTGAGCTGCGGCGCCGGCCCTCAACAAGGATATTTGTAAGATATATCACTTCAAGTCCCTGTAATAGTCAAGCACTTTTATTCCATTTATATATTTTCTTTAATTCTTAAAAATGATAGATATTATCACCTTGATTTTGAAAATGAAATATGAACAAACTGATGTTCACAGATTTAGTAGTTTGTCCAGTATCACAAGTGGGCTGTGGATCTAGAACTTTGAACATAGATCTGCTTGGTTCTACCTATACCACATTTAGAATTAATGGAGGGCCAGAAACAGAGCTTTTGGCTTTACCTTCTTCTAAGCAGTGTTTAGGCAGTCTAATTATCAAAAGTTAGGCCTTAAGCTTATCTTCAAAGCCAATATAACACAGTTACCTATTTTACAAAATATATAGCAGTGGCCCTACATATATTGACTGTTCTTATCCACAAATCATACTTGAAAATTACCTTGTTATATGACTACCAACTAGAAATTTTGACAATAACTACTAACTGATTTCTCAATTCTTGTTTTGCAAATTCAAAACTATTCTGAAATAAAATGTTAAAAAAAGGAACTTGTAGTTTAGATAATATATGCTCAATCATTCACTAAAAGGAAAAAGAATTACTATAAAGGCCTAGCAGTCCTCAGGCTGGGTATGTCATTTCAAACACCCTCCTCCTTATATTGGTATGCTGGAAGTCAAAACAATCAGAAACACATTGTATTACTAAATCATCAAACCTTCAAAGTGAGTTATTGTGGGAAATCTCTCAAATTTCATTGTCTTACTGCAGGTGAATTGACTACAGAAGATATTGTGGTGAAAACTGATGTCTTGGGCCGGCAGCGCAGCTCACTAGGCTAATCCTCCACCTGCGGCACCGGTACACCGGGTTCTAGTCCCAGTCGGGGCGCCGGATTCTGTCCCGGTTGCCCCTCTTCCAGGCCAGCTCTCTGCTGTGGCCCAGGAGTGCAGTGGAGGATGGCCCAAGTGCTTGGGCCCTGCACCCCATGGGAGACCAGGAGAAGCACCTGGCTGCTGCCTTAGGATCAGCGTGGTGCGCCGGCCGTGGCGGCCATTGGAGGGTGAACCAACAGCAAAGGAAGACCTTTCTCTCTGTCTCTCTCTCTCTCACTGTCCACTCTGCCTGTCAAAAAAAAAAAAAAAAAAAAAAAAAAAAAAAACCCTGATGTCTCTAACCTTAGATCCTGTGTACAAGATAACAGAATTCAATTACATGATCAACAGTACAGCCAATAATCCAATATCAGATATTTACCATCACCTAAAATTTAGAAGTTGAATGAGCAATATGCCTATACAGACACAAAGTTCCAGAAACATAAACTTACTGTTGATGATGTTCTCTATATGCTTCTCTTCGAAGGCTTTCTTGAAGTCGTTTTTTCTCCTCTAGTTTATTGCTCTGAAATTGCAAACATCATCATGTAATCTGTTAAGGAAGCTTCAAGTAGGATTGTGATGTTAAAATGTCCAGTGTCCAAAATCCTTGGGTTCAAGTGACCTAGGTCAGTAGTCGACTACAGCACTCCTGGAAAGGCCCCAGCACAAAGGCTCTACCAGACCCCTGGGCGCTACACTGGACAAAGGCTCTACCAGACCCCTGGGCGCTACACTGGACGCCAGGAGCCCTTCTTCTCTCCCCTCTCACAACTTCCCTGGTGTAATCACAGAATCAGTATGCCACATTTTATTCTTTTAATTCAACATCCATTTTTTAAATGGCATTCTCAAAATGTTTCAATGAAAAAACTAAATTTTCATACAAACTATATTAAATGAAAATGATAATAAATGATTAAATAGTTCCTACAAAATTTACCTATTTAGACTTATTCTGCTAAAGCATTCAGGAAGAAAATGTTCATAAGCCAACCCAATGCCTTCTGATTTGGGGTCAGATGCTGAAAGCTGTGGAAAGACTGAATAGCATGTGTCATTAAAAAAAAAAAAAAAAGAAGCAGCAGAAAGAAACAGAGCTATCGACTTGAATAACAGAGTCTTTCTTTAAAAAAAAAAAATTAGCTATTTGGAGAACACCAAAAAAAAAAAAAAAATTCATATTTGATACTGCTGTCACTGTAGTGCTGGCACATTTTAATCCAATTTAAATAACCCAGAAACACTTGCTTTTTGCTCACATGGCATGTCATTTTTTTTACTTGTTTATGAAAAACAAGTAAAATTCCTAGACAACAAATGTAATGGGGAGTTGAAACAAGTTCTACAATATGGGAGAAATGTGAAGTTTTAAATGAATCCAAGAGTGACGGCAAGCAGCTGGGTTTGCTTTAATAAAAAACTGGATTTGCTCCAAGGAGGACGTGTGAAAAGAGAATAATGGAAATCATCACTTTGAAACCCTGACATGAGTTTGGCTCCATCTTTCAAGGAGGAGACAAAATCGGTTCAGACTGTTCATTTCCATGGAAGTCTTCATTCACACATGACTTTCCCATTTGAAAGGCAAAAGTGGATAATGGTGTGCATTTCAGAATAAAGTAGGGGAAAATTACCAAAGTTAAGGGAAGTCAATTATAAGCAACTGAATTATTAATGAAACACAGAATTCTGGAAAGAAAACTAAGAGAGAACCATGAAACTGAATAAATGTTTCCAATCAAAAAAAAAATCTGACTAAATGAGACCAAAAATGTGCAATTGTGATGAGCTTCCTGCATCCTTTGGGTTGGGGGGAGGGGTGGGATCAGAAGGTTAAAAGACTGAAAGCCAGCACTAGGTGTTGATTAAGCCAATATTTGCAATGCAACATCAAGAAGAGCAGGAATGGTGGCGCAGCACATTAAGCCACCACCTCGGACACCTGCATCCCAAATCAGAGTGCCTGGGATGGAGTCCCACCTACATTTCTGATGCACCTTCCTGCTAATGCACAAAGGAGACACCAGGTGCATAAGTACAGCTCAAGTACATGGGTCCCTGTCACCCACATGGGAGACCCAAATGGGGATCTAGGTTCCTGGATTTGGCCTGGCCCAGCCCCAGTTGTTGTATCATTTGGGGATTAGAAGCAGGGGCAGGACTTGATCCCAGGCACTCTGATATGGGATGCAAGCATCTCAAGTGGTGGTTGAACCTGCTGTGCCAGAACATCTCCCCCCAACCCAGGAAAATTTGGAAGTATTCCCATATAAATGCAGAATGCAAAATAAGAACATGAGATCCAGATAAAGAAAATGCAGACACCACTTCAAGTCCACCATCACTGATTGAGCGACCTTAAATAAATCATTTCATTTCACTGAATCCCATGTATTCAACATTTCTCAAAAGCCTAGTACTATGCTTAGTACTGTGTCAGTACAGATGCTTAGTGCTGTGTCCGATGTCAGGAATACAACTACCAACAGAACAATGCTGCCTGGAAAATGTCAGAGTCTGGCTGGGGATATGATAAGAGCACAGTGATGGCCATATGTGACATGTTAGAGGAGGGCAGTTTGCAGATGACAGAATGTGAACACCCAAGCAGGTAGTGAAGAAATGCTTTCAGCATCCATTTGGTGCCTACTAAATGGCAGGCCCCATCCTGGTCACCAGAGCCAAGAAGCTGAGGAACACCTAATATGCAGTTTCTAATTTCAGGTTCATGGATGAGCTACATATTCAAGGAAAAATACAATTAAAAGATACACTCATAGCTTCCTTTAGGTTTCCCACAGGATTGGCCACTAAATGAAGGGATAAAAACCACAGGTCTAATGAGAAGTAGAAATTCTAGCTAGAGATCTAACTTAAATAAGCAGGAGCTTGGGGCTGGTGCTGTGGTGTAGCGGGTAAAGCCACTGTCTTTAGTGCTGGCATCCCATATGGGTGCCAATTTGAGATCTAGTTGCTCCACTTCCAATCCAGCTCTCTACTATGGCCTGGGAAAGCAGCAGAGGATGGCCAAGTCCTTGGGCCCCTGCACCCGCGTGGGAGACCTGGAAGAGGCTCCTGGCTCCTGGCTTCAGATCAGCCCAGCTCCGGCCATTGTGGCCATTTGGGGAGTGAACAAACAGATGCAAGATCTCTCTCTCTCTCACTCTCTGGCTCTCTGGCTCTCTTGCTCTCTTGCTCTCTCTCCCTCTCTCTCTCTCTGCCTCTGCCTCTCTGTAACTCTGCATTTCAAATAAATAAATAAATCTTTAAAAAAAATAAGAGTTTGAATCTGAAGAACAGAATACTTGATAGTTTATTTATATTTAATAAGCTATGAATCAGAGTCTCGATTGGATTTTTCAATTAGGAGTAATTGAAGATCCTGCCTAGATGTGGACCAGAAAAGCATCAGAGACAGAAGCCACACCCAGCCCATCAAGGAGCAGGCCCGGAGAGGAGTTGGAAGATAAGTTCCTAAGCAGCTGAACTGAGGCTCACCCAGGAAACATTTTTTCAGGTAGAGATGCTTTGGCTCAGATGACTGCTAAAGAGTCAGTCCACAGACTGACACTTGGGAACCAAATGTAGCAGGGAAATCTTTTAAGAAATTGGACCTTAATGCTTGAGACAGAGAAGTTAAAAGCAACCAGAATAGAGAGATGCAATCTGTTTCATTTTGTGGGTTTTTTTTAAATTTTATTTGAAAGGCAGAGAGAGAGAGAGAGATACAGAAAGAACAGAGGGAGAGAGAGAGAGAGATCTCCCATTCACTGGTTCACTCTCTAAATTCCTTCAACAGCCAGGCCTGGGCTAAGCTGAAGCTGAGAGCTGGGAACTCTATCCAGGTTTCCCATGTGAACAACAGGGACTCAGTTACTGAGCCATCACCACTACCTGTCAGCCGTGCACTAGCAGGAAGCTGGGATTCTGAGCAGAGATAAACCTCCAACCCAGGCTCTGAGATATGGGATGCTGGTGTCCCAAGTAGCATCTTAACCACTGCACCACACACCTATCCTACAACCTGTTTTTAAGGTGAGAAACTTGACTATGATCATACCCTAAGAGAAAGAGATGGAAAACAAGCACTACAGTAACAGGTGAAAGGGGAGCTCAGCGGATGGAGCAGCAAGGTCCCTGTGCAGACAGGAGGGAGGATAAGATGGTGAATGATGGCAGAAGAATCCATTGTAGCAACAAGGCACGACACATCCCCATTCCTCCTGGGATGGTATGCGGCAGAACAACAAAGGGAGGGCACAACCATAGTAAAAGAAAGATGTTGAAACCAAACTCCTATAACGTAAAAGCAAGACTCAGCCTGTCTGTCTCTTAGCCCAAGATGTCCCTGCCTATCCTTTATCAAATGGACTTCACTGATTTGAGGGAGTAATCCAGCCCTAAAGGTTCCAATTACCAACTCAAGGAGTGACTTGCTTCTCCAATAGATAAGAATTTTGATGTCCAACACTGTTCTGGGGTGATTTGTGTAAGAGAATTCCAGGTCTGGGCAGAATATAACTGCCACCTTCACATAACCCCCAGACCAACCAACTGGAGCCCACCTGGCCACCAAAAATTCCATAAAGAGCATTGCATCACTGATCAACACACAGTCACAAGCACCACTGACCAACCAGGAACTTGAACATGAACTGATCACATACCCCTCAGCCCCAATTTTGATCTATAAGAACCTGCAGCCCTAACTCCTCAGGGTGCCTAGGAATTAAGCAACAGCTGCCCAGCTCCTTGCTCTGCGCTTTGCAATAAACACCTCCTTCCTTCCACCACCCCATGTCAGTGACTGGCTTTCTGCATGTCAGGTGAGCATACCTGGTTTGGGGGTTCTATAGCAGCCCTTCCAACTAGTTTGGGGTGTTGTTTGGCAACAATACTTAAAGGCCCCATGGCCTTTATTTCCTATCAAGTGGCAGGTAAGGTCATATGCTGAGAATGAAAGGAGAGAGTAAGAAGAATGTGATTAGGGCTGAATCTAGAACACAAAGGGAAAAGGATGGCTTTTGGCATTGTTAGATTCAGCTGAGGCAGAAACCCAGAAACCTGGTGTGCCCAAAAAGCTATGGGTATTTTTTTTCTCTAGCAGCCTCATACATGTGGATTTCATACAAGTGAAATAATTGGGCCATCCAATTCATGTGTAAAATAAGAATAATCCTCTCTCTATGTCTTTATTACAAAAGACTGCTGATATAACACAAATGGGATAATATCAAACCACTTCTTTACAGTTATAATCAGGTTAGGGCCCTTAGTGAATGTGTACTGACTGCTTGGCATCCTACTAAGGCTTTGCATATATTGCATCCTGCAGCCTTACTGGCCCCATTATATTATTATTTTATTATTATTATTCATACTCATCTTACAAGTAAGAAAAATAAAGTGTAAAGAAGCTCACAGCCTGTTCTTATAGTTCCACATCTGCATTTTGGAAATATCATTAACATTTCAACATTATGGGAAATCATGTTAATGAGATCCCATTATATTTCAGCAACC